CCTCTTTCCTCCCCACAAGCTGGGCCTGCTGCTGACTGATTCTGGGGCACAGTGCAGCCTGAGGTGCCAGGATGGGCAGGAGGCCTGCTTTAGCACCACCACTGATCACCAGCAATTCGAGTGGCTGGTATGCTAAGCAGCATCGCTTTCCCAAACCATCAGTCTGGTCCCGCCCAAATTCCTTCCCCAGAACACCTACTGTAGGTGTACTGGGGGCAGACACATTCCACAACCCAATACTGGGTCATGACTACTAGTCTGAAAACCATTGCTCAGTCTACACTACACCTCTCCACAATGACACCGCACAGGGAAGACGCAAGTGGAAAGATTTTACAGGAGTTATCTGCAAACTCCTGGCTTAGTTCAAGGGAAGTAGATTTAACTCTGTTTATAATCATCTTTAAAACACAGTATTTGCTCAAGTTAATCAAAAGCTAATAAAATCAATACTGTATTTAGACTGTCATCTATTCAAAATAAAAAGATATTTGATACATAAAAATCTGAAGAGTTCAATTCATTTTAAATGTTTCATACTAATAAATATGTTAATATCAACTATATAATTTGAACATTTAAAACAAGAACAATGTTGGTTCTTAAATAAAGCGATTATTTCAGTCTAGTGCTGTTATAAAAAAGTAAAACACATTTCATTATAAACTAGAACTTGCCTGTAAGAGAGATCTTGAAAGAACACAAGGCGATTGCTCACTAAATTCACAGAAAAAATCCTAATTTACATTTAGGATGGAAAGAGAAGGAAGGTTAATATACCAGTTTAAAAAGTACAAAAAAGAGTTAATTCTTTATTATGAAATAAGTGTGAATAACCTTAAAAACAACGACTAAATTTTTCAGTTGATACGTGACTTTGTCTCAAACTACAAGAGGAGTTAAAAATCTTAAGTCATATTGAATAAAACTAGAAAATTATTAAAATTCCTTCCAACTACCAACAGTATGATAAAATTTTTTAAAAAGAGACACTATCAGACTGTTATTGTCATCTTAAACTCGAGATGTGTAAATGAAGGACAGGTCTGACTCAAACTCATAATTTTCATAAAAGTTGATTAGCATTACAGAAAGCATGTCTAATAGAAAGTTGCTACGTTCAAAAGATTTTAGTCCTCTTTCTGGGAACTCTGCCTTGTGAATCACATGCCTCTTCTGTAATTCAGTGAAATGTTAGAAAATACAAATGCAGACTGAACATGGAAACCTACCTTAATTTTCATAGGCCTTAATTTCAAAAAGTCTCTGTTATGCTTAATCATATTTTTGTCAGTCTCTGAATAGGGATCGAATTAACCATGGATTTAAATGCTTCATTTAAATCTATAACTTGGGGGTGGAGTATTTGCTTACCAGAATTCTAAAAATTGTATTAGCTCACTATTGGGAAGAAATAAAAAAGCAAAGAAAAGTCAGTATCTTCTTCAATTCGGTAAGGACTGTATTGTGTTCAGCCTGCTGTAGATGCAGTTCACTTTTCAATTAGAACAGGAACACAAGTTAATTAGCCCTACTGTGTTCCATCATTATCTGTAATAATAATTTTAGCAAGATGTGGAGAACAAGGGGATAGGAGAGAAAAAATAGATACTGTATTTGCTAAAAGGAAAAGTACTAAGTAGTAGGAAGAAATGTAATTTCAAACATTCAGGAAGGTATTATAAAAGACAGGAAAATCTGAAGTTTTAAATACACAACCTTTGTGGGTCTAGGGACAATGATAAACATATATACTGAAATAATTCTTTTTTGAACAATCCAGATAAATTCTTATCTCCGTTTAAATAAAGATAATACACAGAATTCATACTCACCAGTATACAGTGCAAATTAGTTAAGTTGACCACTTCACAAACAGTTTTTATTCTGTCTATCAGTTTGGAAAAATAGTTGACCATTTCTTCCCTTTTAATTATTTTTGCATATCGAGGAAAAGTTGGAGGGAGCAACCTCTGGTTAACAAGAGGCTCAACTTTCTTTAAAAAAAAAAAAAAAAAAAAAAGGCAGAAAATGAAAGATTTTGCGATTTGGGGTTTCTGAATTTTTTTTAAATTTGCAAGTATAAAACAAACCATTCATTTATCCAAACTAAATATCTGCTGGTTATTTACCCAAATTAAGTCATCCTGGTTATGAAAGAAAGCTATTCCAAACATTAAATGAATAATTTTCTCTTGTAAACGAAATTGACAATTACATTTAGATTACTAGCTATATTAATTAGTTCATTATTAATTATCATGAGATTCAATATTTAAACATGCAAATTAGTACAAACAGCTTATGAATAAAAATTCTTATTTTTCTACAAGCTAGTTGTATAGTCTGAACGTCACCCCATAACTTAGGGCAGATTTACACTTGAAGTGACATCAGTGAAGCTGCACATAGCCACCAGTGTGGACAGAGTTTATTTTACATCACTCAGGAGGATGTCTTTTTCACATCACTGAGCAATGTAAGTTAGATCAATGTAAGCAGTAGTAGAGACCTACCCTTACCACATTTAAAAGATTTGCATCTTCAGCATCCTGATTAATCAAGCTACCCACTCCTGGATCTGCTAACCCTTATCAGAGTCCATGGGACAAAGAAAAATGTCAACTATAACCCTTTACACAAGGGAGGAGTGTCCTCACATGGCTAGGGGAACACCCTGAAGCCTTTCTGAAACCCAAATGATTCACGGTCTTCATTTAATCATGTACTTTGTACTATTCTCAGGCTAGTGATATTTAGCAGAAATGTAAATCTGCACCTCTTGTTACTAAATAGCGAATGTTTCCAAGTCTCTTTAATGCTGGCGTCATATGACAAATAGACTCCTTCAAATCTCATGGTTTGTAAAAAAGAGTTATCGAGCCTCCCATTATCGAAAGATTTAAATAACATTTCCCTCATGCAGCAAAATAAGTTTTCAAATCTTTCCTCTTTTCAAAAAGCTGACCAAGCCATCTGTCAGAATTCAACAAAGAACTAGAAAAGTAATACTACTTTATGGTTAAGAAATTTTGAGTTGCTGTTTTTTTAAGTTGAATTCAAGTTACAATATGCATCTGCATAACAATTTTGAGTAAAGGAGCAAAACAAAGTACATAAAACTTATAGCTTTTGCTGCATGTTTTGGGAAGCAGGTCTGGTGTAACCAGTCAAGATATCAATTTCAGGTGTTTTAGCTGGCCAACATAAATGTAAGAAAAAAGCAATTGATTACAATCTTATAACATGTAGGAAGGAAAACACACACACACTCACTCTTAATTAACTGAGTTTGGGAAATACATGGATCAGATCTCTCTCTCTCTCTCTCTCCCCTCTCCCCCCCACCCCTGGATCAGAGATCCAGGTCTTAGTTACTGGATATCAATATGAAGTATGTGTAAACTTTATTCAATGGCTGATTCAGAATCAGAATTCACCAGGATTAATAATGCTTAACATTCATTACCCTCTGTTGGCTCCCTTGTGGCTTACATAATATGAGTCACTGGTCTTACTCCATTTCTTTTGAACATAATCTACATCACAAAAAACCAACCAACCACCATCCAGTTAGCACACTCTCTCACAGGTCAGCAGAAAGGTTTAAGTATTAAATAGAATCCACCCTATCCTGCGTGGTCTTCCTGCCCCCATGACAAAAAGTGTCAGGCAGATTAGAACCCTAACCCAGTTCATGACCTAAATTGACTTATACAAATTCAAGTTAAAAAAAAAAATCAAGTGGAGCAGTGATTGTAGATAGTTAAAGACTGACATATCGTGGTAATTTTTTGCTCTATTTCTATCAGTTCTTTACAAGGATAATAAGTTCTTTCTACATCTTTCCTAATAGCTCTTAAGGCAGGGTACTCCAACCTTTTAAAGCAGAAGATCACTTTTTGAATTTAAGCCAGTCCAGGATCTACCTCAAACTCAAATACCCCTCCCCCATCCCTTTGCCGAGGCCCCACCCTTCTCACTCTGATTATAATAAACAGAGAACAATCTTATAACATGTAGGAAGGAAGGAAGGAACGCACGCGCACACACACACACACACACACACACACACGCACACGCACATGACAGTGACATCAGTGCCCCCCTGCCCCCTCCCCCACTCTGCACAACAAGCAAGAGGCTCCCGGGCGCAGCTCTGAGCTTTCGGCAGGAGCAGCAGGGAAGTGGGAGGAGGGGCAGCTGAAGTGCAGGCCCTTGATAGTCTCCCAGCCAAACCAGTTAGGATCACCTGTCAGAGGCTCCCAGATCTAACACTAGATCCCGATCTATTGGTTGGTGACCACTGTCTTAAGGTAAAGACTCAGGGTATGTCTACACTGCAGAGTTTTTCCGGAAAAACGGCCATTTTTCCAAAAAACTTCACTGACGTCCACACTAAAACCGCGTTCTTTCAAAAAAAAAAAAAAAAAAAAAATCGAAAGAACAAAGGGGTTTTTCCAACATTGGTAAACCTCTTTCTACAAGGAAGAAGCCTTTTTCCAAAAGAACCCTTTCAGAAAAAGGCATGTGTGGATGGGGCAGAAGTTCTTTCGAAAGAAGAGGAAAGAGGAAAAAGCACAGTGGCGGCCACTCTGTCCATAGTAATCACAGCTTAAATGCAAGATAGTGTCCATTCAGCATGGATGCTCACTTTCAAAAAAGCAGACTGCTTTTTCAATGCGCTTTTGCTGTGCAGATGCTCTCTTTCAGAAGAAGTTTTTTCTGAAGATCTCTTCTGGAAAAGCTTCTTCCGAAAAAAGCCTGCAGTTTAGACATAACCTAAGTCTCTATAGTGAATTTCTTTTATTGTCTCATAAGCAGAAACATCATTTAAAAATATATCCATTAAGAATTGGTCCAGAAAAAAAAAGTATCAAACAGATAATGAATTATTTCAATGGATATCTAAAACTTTACTAATGACAATCTTTACTTTCTACACTTGAAAATGTAAAACATTTTTTCTGCAATTTTCTGAACATCCTACAGATTGAACCTCTCCCGTCTGGCGCCGTGGGGACCTGACTGGTCCTGGATGAGAGACTTTGTTAGATCAAGGATGATCATTTCTGCTCTCCCTCCCCACCACCGATCCTCCCCATCAGCCATGGCCTGGCTGCCAGCTTCCCAGCCACTCTCCCACTTTGCCACTGACCCCTTCCGCAAGGCTCCTGATCTCACGGGACAGCCCGCCCTGCTGAGGTCCAGCTGCGCCACTGGATGACAGCTCTGCTTAGGCTTCAGCCTCACTGGGCAGCAGGACTCTTTGCTGTGCCACCGGGCAGCCCCACTCCCGGGTTCCTGGCCTCACTGCAAGGCAGCCCCGTGGTCAGGCTCCTGGCCCCCCAGAGCAGCTCCGCTGCCTCCTACTCTCACCAGGAGGCTGCACAGCTGGGCAGTAGCAGGGCTGCTGGGCAGTCCCACTGCAGGCCCCACAGCTGCACAACCCTGCTGCCTCCCAGTCTTTCTGGGTGCTTTTGCTGCCAGGCAGCAGCCCTGCAGCTGGGCTCAGCCCCACTGCCTCTCCCCCTGCCGCTGTGCTCCTGGTTTCGCTGCCACAGGGCAGCCCCGCAACTGGGCTCCAGCCACGCTGCTGGGCTCCCAGCCACCAGCCCTCCACAGGGCTCTGTGGTCCTGAACATCCGTGGTCCTGCTGGACCAGCGATGTTGCCAGCCTAGAGAGTCCCGGTTAAGAGAGGTTCAACCGGTATATGCACTCCAGTATTTATTTAATGTGGAAGTATTTAACAGCAGCAATTTAAAGGGCTTGTGCCTGCTGGGCGACTGTTACAGCAAATGAAAGGGCTTGCGCCTCCCCAGTGGCTTCCAGGCAACACATCAGCGGTGGAGCTGGGAGCTACTGTGGGCCAGATGAAAGTGCTAGGTGGGCCTTGATCCATCCTGCTGACAGCCTCTTGCCCAGCTCTGGGCTATAGACTGCCAGCCTAACTCATCCTTTCTAGTGCAGCAAAATCCCAGCAGCATTACAATGGTAATTCAAACAGGCTCTCAACCAGCCACAATAAAAAACTCCTTTCTACTTTGTCAGCCTTCTGGGAAGCAAATACTCATTCTCCCCAAAAACCAGGGATGTTCTCTCTAGCACTCTTGAAAGCAATGTGTTGCATGTAGCATAGCTATAACCATGTAAAATATATTACCATACCCATACTGCCTCTGTGAAATTTGGCTATTTTGAAACAGGAAGAGCTGGTTCCAGAGTTTCTGAGCTCTCATGAAAAATGCCATGCTATGAGCCACCACTATCACCTCTTTCATAACAGAGAATCTAGTATATCTGACCAGGAAAGGAGGTGATTCCTTAGATAATTATTTTGTTGTGCTACAAAACAAGTATAAAGGTCTATTCTTGTGTTCAAGGCATGATTTGGACTCCTGAGAATCAGAGTTCAGTTCCTAACTTTGCCAGATTTCCAGTGTAACCTAATAAAGCCTCAACTGTAGTACTGTATACAATTCTGGAAAATGTGGATAAATTGGGAGAAGAGCAACAAAAGTGATTAAAGAGTTAGAAAACATATCCTATGATAAAAAAAATTAGTTTAGTGTGGAGAAGACTGGTAACTCTCTCCAAATATATAAAAGGATGTTACAAAGAGAAGAGTGATAAATGGTTCCCCATAACCCCTGAGAACAGGGCAAGAACTAATGAGCATACATTGCTATAAGAGATGAGTCTCATATATCAGGATAAACTTCCTAACTGTAAGGTTACTTAAGCACTGGAACAAACTATCCATGAAGGTTATGAAATCTCCATCACTGGAGGTTTTTAAGAAAAAGAGCTATCAGGAATGGTCTGATAGTACTTATTCCTCCTGCCTCAGTTCAGGAGACTGGAGTAGATGACCTACTGAAGACCCTTCCAGTCCTACATTTCTAGAATTCTATAAAAGTTAACAACGCTATGGAATTCGCTGATTCTTGCTACAAAGTCTCAGAGAAAAAACAGCTGATAAGACTTTGATGTCCACAAAGACTTTTAGACCCAGAACAAGTCAATCACCATAGGGCAGGGACTGAAAATAAACCTTAACCCAGGATGCAGTCACAACAGATCACTATTTAAAAAGTTTTTTTTGTTTTTGTTTTTTAAACCAGAAACTCAGACTGAATGTCCCCTTAAATAGAAGGCTGCCAACACCAGAAAATATGGAAAACCTGCAGTATGGTTCCCAAGCAGGAAAGGATTTTGGAAGGGGAAGAGACTCTGAACCTGCCTGAGTGTGGCCCTTGAGAAAGGCCCAGATTATTGCAAGGACACTATGTTTTTGGCAGGAGAGGACTATTAACCCTGATGCTTACCTCCTTTTGTAGTATCATTCTGAGCCTGGATACCATGATGTAATGAGTTGTGGATGGCAGAAAGCAGATCAGCTGCTTGAATCATTAGCTTCTGAGCTTCTGCAACTGCACTTGTCTGGAAAATATAATAAAACATTTTCACATTCTCCATGATCTAAATTTGTATGAAAGCAAATTCCGTAACCATTCCAAAAATCAGAACCCAGATATGAGATTTTTTAAAAAATAGAACATACTACATTTTTGATCCAATAGGTTTTCCTGAATCTGTTCAGTGCATGCTTTGTACAGCTTCCAATAACCCTTAACCACTGAAACTTCACTGATAAGTTAATATATGTCAAAAGCACATTCTCTAACTTCCGAGTTTTGTCAGCTTATAAAAGAAGCACGCTTGTAACAGAGATAGTCTCTCGCAATATAAATATATCCCTCATTAGAAAATAAGGAGTCCTTAAATGTTCTATTTAATAGATGCTTAAGTCCATACAATTGCTTCAAGCTGTTAAGAAAATCCTAATGGAAAATTGCTGATCAGAAGGTAATGATTTATACTGAAATATTCCATTTTTTTGACATTTGAGGAGATCTGCACCTATTAGTATAATTAAGCATGTGTTTAAATTGCTTGCTGGGAACAAACGGGTTAACTGTCCTTGATGCAAGATAAATATTACAAGTAAGATTTTTAAAACAGCATATTTAAGAGATTTATAAAAATTAGACAGAAGAACTGTGATAAAAAAAAAACAAAAAAACTTAACCTGGCTAGAAACTGATATCAATAAAAAGAAGTACAAGACAAATATTCACTTTCTGTAGTTTTGGCTTAAACACAATGCCTTAACACAGATCTGCTATAAAATAAACTCCCATGCAGATCCTGAATGCAATCAATCTTAACCATGAACTAAAGGGAGAATTTAAAGTGAGAAATATTTGACCACGTGAAGGAAACTGGCACAGTTTGTCAGCAGTCACCCATAACAGTTCTGAATATCAGGATTTGGTTGTGGAAAACAAACATATTTATCTAAAACAGCCCTGTCATAATAGCTAATCCTATTATTTATATAGCTGCTGATTAAATTCAGAATGCAATTTCCTCCATATGTGCTCTAGTCTCTTCTGCATCTAAAATACTTGCACCTGATTTTCTCTGAGTTGAAGTGTAAGTTTGAAATTGAAATCACCCTTTTAATGAATTCTCTCTCTCTCTCTCTCTCTCTCTATATATATAAATAAATGTTCCTCCAAGACAACAGAATGATGTCATCATGTCAGCATCAACAGGCTGGGGGGGAGAGTAGGTGACAGTGAGAGAGATTTCCCCCAGTGATGCTGCAATGCCGGGGGAGGAGGTGATAACGAGGTGGGCCCCTGGCTTAGTTTGGGACAGCACTTTATAGTGAGTGCTGGAGTGTGCGGCACCCTCCTGCTGGGAGAGCCAAGGGAGCTTGGATCGCTGCAGAGAGGAGGGGAAAGCCCGGCTGGCTCTTTGTGCTGGCTCTTTGTGCGTTATCCGCCTTTCTCGCAGGTGAAGCTGAAGCGGAGGGAGGCCCGCAGGCAGCATGGTCCGCAGTGGCAGGACGCTGTGAGCTCCCTGCTCGCCCTGCTGCAGGCTTCCTTGCTTCTGTCCCTCCACCCAGCCCCCTCACTCACCAGCTCAACCCCCTCCTGTTCCCCCCACAGCAGGGAGTCTGCACTGGGGCTCTAGCCTTGCCCCACCCTCAGCAAGGTTGAAGCAACAGTGCCGACTTCCTGCAAGGGGGGGCCAAATCCTGAGGCTCCCTGTGTGCTGCTGCTTCCCTTTCCCTCCCCTGGCTGGGGGAACAGGAGCACAGGGATGTACTTTAAAGAGGCTTTTTCTGCTGCTCTGCAGGACGGTGAATAGGGGGATGGGGGCACGGGGGCTGGGCTGGAGCACCAACGTGGGCTCCCAGCCCCCTCACTCACCGCTCTGCCGAGACCCTACATCCCCAGCACCCTCACCCCCTCTACTGAGACCTCATCTCAAACCCCCCAAGCCAAAACCCCGTACCCTCAGCCCACTCCTGTCCCCCGCCCTCAGGCCAGAAACCCTGCCCACTCCTGCACCCTCCCGCCAGGCCAGACACCTACCTTCAAAGAGGGGGGGGGGGTTGACGAGCATAGCAATCACGGGGCATAGCCCATTAGTATCTATGTAACCTCAGGAATTGTGGACCAATTTTTAATGAATGAGATTTTATAAATGAAGCAGCGTTAACCACTTTTGGATGAATTTGTTAGTAGCCTGTTAAGAATTGCCTTTGAAGAATCTGTTACAATTTAAAAAAAATTACAACTAAACATGACCTCATATTGGAACTGAAACCCCATTTTAAACTTTGTACTGCCTTAACTCTGTTTACACACACACACACACACACACTTTAATCTAATTTAAAAGTGTGAATATAGATATGTGTGTAATGGGATCAGTCTTCCTGACCAGCTGCCAGCACCAACTTGATGGCCAAAGAACAATGTGGTGAGGCCCTGCAAGAGAATCAACCCAGAAAAGAGAGAGACAAAAGCCCCATCAAAAAAGATCAAAGTCACATCTGCTGTTAATTGATGACTCATGGTCAAACAGTGCCCTGGGACAGTGGGATAAGATATGCTCTATGGACTAAAACATACAAAAAGATGGATGCAAAACTATAGAGTTGGATCTTTTGGTTCTACGATCATCATCCATGAGCATCTGTGTGCAGACATGACTTGGCTCCCCTTCTTGTGTCTAGACAACTTGGACAGTGGACTAGCATGAGCAACTGAGGCTGGTAATTATATCCTATTCATAGAATTGTGTGTTGAAGTGCATGTATGTATGGTGGATATTTTTAGTAGCTGGGGACAGTAAGTGAATTCTGCACTCACAATAAACACAGCATATTGCTTTATTCCCCAAACAAGATTCTGCTAGTTCCATTTCTAAGTGCAACAGAGGGCCCATTTACAAAGCCTTGATCCCTTCCTCTTCCAACCATCAGTGAAGCCAGGATAGAAATTAAGAACCCCAAAAAGGGAGAAGAAACACATTTTTTTACTGATAGTCACTAATTCACGATAGCCCCCCTGACTTACGGAATAGGGGAAACTCTATCTTTCAGGTTTCATTTGCATAAAGAGATTTTTCCAGACTCATCAACAGTTTGTTATTGCCTGAAAAGCAGCATATTTCAGTGCAAGATCCTATATCTTCTTAAGAATTAAGTGAGTAATATATTGGTGCTCGTGGAAAGTGGGCTGCTACTCTTAAGAGATCACCCATGTCTCCAAATTGATGGTGCTGCTGCAGAGTTGAGATACTGGAGTAAGAGACTCCGAAGGACAATTTTTTGCCTTTGAAAATGGAAAGCCAAAAACAAACCACCCAAAATTTCAAAGGATTGCAGAGTAAGTGCAGAAATCTCAAATATTTGTACCTCTTTTTTGGTGAAGGCAATAAGAACTGTCAGTAGTACACGGGTAAACTTCACTCTGCTGAATACTGCTAAGCACTGCTGATGCTATAACAATATAAAAAAGTACCAAAAGTTAAGAGAAAGTTACTAAACACATGTCAACCCTTCAAAAAATAAAATCTGGATGTTTTTAATTAAAAAAAATGTTATAAACTGCTCTTGTACTTTCTACTCTCTGCCTTCAAAGTCTGTTTGCTACTTATTTGGCCTAGTTTTCTTCAAAGTAATTACTGTATCTGAAGAAATGAACTGATGACATTATGGGACCAACAGTCTCCAGTCATCCTTTTCCAACACAGAAGAGAAAAAACACGAACACACATCATATTATATTTGAGAGATCAGGAAGTTTGGTTGGACTGCTGCTGCTTGAGCTGGTACAATTCATGCAAATTTAACATTTTAAGTGCTACCATAAAAGTAACAACCCTACAGATATTACAGTGAAATAGATTCTTCTCTATTTTCTTGAAGAACAATGGTAAAACATGTTATCCTTTTTCAGGATACATGCTAGAAATAGTTACTGAAAACATTTATGTAAGAAATATGAACTATTTTATACAGTCTACCAAAAAACAGTAAAAGGTTCATTACTTCTAGTTCAACTTCTGGATCTCTTTCTTCTCCTTGTCGACTTCGAGTGCTCTTAAATTGAAGGAGTTAGAAACACAACATATTAATAAAATTGCAAAAGAAATGCCATTGTTTAGAAAAGAACTTAGATATACAGGTTAAAACATTTGATTAGATATTTCTAAAATTAGATAAGATTAAAATCAGTTCTAATTTAAGACTAGATGTTAGCTTAAATTGATTTGTAACTATATTTATATGTATTTATATCGCATATATCACTATATAAATGATCCACAAACATTAATCAATCCTATACACACACCATGAGTAGACTGATGCAGAGGGTCTTTTTACAGTCCTATAGTATCTGAACAGGAATTAAATCTAGATTACCAAATCTCAATCCAGTCTAGCAGACCTCCTACACCATAATATTCTTTCTATTCCTACTGAAAAAACCTATAATCCTTGTCTGTTCTCGCTAACAACACTGAATACTGCTCTAGACAGTCTGCTAGTGTCAAACAAATACATGCGTACAAAAAATAATCGTTTTCCTTCATTGAACCATACTACTGGAAACAAGTTACAAAAATAATGTTCCTTAAATACTAGTAATATGTTTATACAAATTATATAAATGGAATCTATGTTACTTAAGGTCTATTCTATAGCAGATTTAAAAAGTAGGAAACAAAAAAATACCTTTACTCTTCGTTGCATGTCATCTTCTACATCTTTTAGCATGCCTGGATAAGTGACATTTAAAAAACCCCAATACATTATTCTCATTAAACTCAGATGCAAACATACAACACAGAAGGGTGAGGAGGATTGTGAGCTTAATTCAAAGTCTAAAATATTTGAAGCACATATTAGCCAAAGGTCATCAACAATAAATACCTATTTGGTGATATCAAGGGATACGCTATCTACAAAAAGTCCAATTCCTACCCTCAGATGTTAAAAGGGGGATGGTGCTTACAAAGGTGCTGTCCCTAATCCCTGACTCCAGATTTTGTATCAGTTTCTGACTAAAGTATTTGTCTAATCTGAACCTATCTATCCTATCTCCAGCTGTTTCAAGGAAGGAACTCTCTCTACCTTTCCTGTCTGATTTCTGGACCACAAAGAGGATTATTCATCAAAACAAATGCAATTTCAGAAATCAGTGTTGTTAAACTGCAAAATTTAACAATAGATACAATATCTAAGAGTATGTGCTTTTCAGGAACCAGCCCGACAGTTAGGTTACATATATATCAGAGACACACAGAGACCGGGCATACTTGCAGAAAAACAAATTTGTAAACTCCAGAGATCTACAAGTGTATATTAAAAAAAACCCAATGTAAATAAAGGACTGATGTCCAGAGCTTCAGGTTTCAAACTCCAGAAGTTTCCACCTTAACTAAGGTGCCTAAAAGTTAGGAGGGAACAGGTGCACAATTAGATTGGGTGATCTTAACTTTTAGAAGACATTGTGGAAATAAACAGTTTACACTGGCCCCTCTTCCGGAAGTGGCATGTAAATTTCACTAGTCGTCGTAGGGAAATCCGCGGGGGATTTAAATATCCCCCGCGGCATTTAAATAAAAATGTCCGCCGCTTTTTTCCGGCTTTTAAAAAAGCCGGAAAAGAGCGTCTACACTGGCCCCGATCCTCCGGAAAAAGTGCCCTTTTCCGGAGGGTCTTATTCCTACTTCAAAGTAGGAATTCAAAGTAGGAATAAGACCCTCCGGAAAAGGGCACTTTTTCCGGAGGATCGGGGCCAGTGTAGACGCTTTTTTAAAAGCCGGAAAAAAGCGGCGGGCATTTTTATTTAAATGCCGCGGGGGATATTTAAATCCCCCGCGGATTTCCCTACGACGACTGGTGAAATTTACATGCCCCTTCCGGAAAAGGGGCCAGTGTAGACGTAGCCAATAAGTGTACTTGTTTAGAGACTAATGGTCTCTAAGTTTTAGTTTCCACTTAAGTTTCTGTAAAAAAAAAAAAGTTTGAATTCTCAACCTTACCACTGCATTAAAGCTAGTTCTTTGCATGAAAATTATTCTCTGTGATAAAGAATGTTTCTTTACAAATGGAGCTTTGCAACATAACATGGAATTATTTGGCTTGACAAAGGTTAAATCTGGAACTCAGCCAATCTTCAATTCTAGGCATTTCAGAGTTTTTAGACTAGTCCAAAACTAAGAAGTTCTTAATGCATTAAGTTTTCTCATTCTCTCTATATCAGTGGTCTCCAACCTTTTTACACCCAAGATCACTTTTTAGTGTCAGAACAAGCCAAGATCTACCACCCCGTCCTTCTCCCAAGACCCTACCCCTTCCCTGAAGCCCCACCCTCTCTATTCTCCTCCTCTTTAACTTGCTATCCCCAGCCCTTATACACTCTACACTGCTGCTTTTTTTCTGATTCTTCTGTAGGAAGAGGTTTTTCCAACATTTGGCCTGTCTAGACTGGACCAAATGTCAGAAAAACCCCTTCTTTTGGAAGCCCGCTTATTCCTCGTAGAACGAGGAATACAGGGATTACCGAAAGAGCAAGTTTGCTCTTCCACTAAAAAAAGCGGAAGAACAAATGCATCTCTGGATGCGGAAGAGTTTTCCAGGAATCCTGGAATCTCTTTGGAATCCTGGAAAAACTCCTGCAGTCTAGCCGTACCCTCACTGGGCTGACACAGGATATGTGGGCTCTGGGATGGGAATGAGGGATTTGGGTGTGGGAAGGGGTGAGTGGTGTAAACTCTGGGAGGATATTTGGATGAAGGAGGAGGTGGAGAAGGGAACACTGGCTCCGGGAGGGGGCTCCAGGCAGGGGAATATTAGGGTCAGGTGGAGGGTTGGGGTACTAATTAAGCCACAGGCTTGTGGATGTGAGGGTGCAGAAATTTGGGTTGGGGTATGCCAGGGGCTCAGGACGGGGGGTTCCAGTGTATGGTAGGCTCAGATCTAAGGTCTGGGGGGGGGGGGGGGGGGGGCAGGAGAG